GTAATCTGCAAATTAAAAAAAACCGTTAATAATAATGAAACAGAATGAATATTCTAATTAAATAGGATGTTATTCCCCGTGACTAGTGTGTGACCATTTTGCGAAGCAAATGGTTACACGCTAGTATTAAAAAAATTTAGTCGAAATTTTGACCAACTAGTAGTCGACTAAGGATTTTTTGGACGATTCCAACCTCTAAAGAGGATACTTTGACTGAAGAAACACCGACAGAAAATCTTGAGGAAGTGGATCTTGTTAAATTTAAGAGAATTTATGAGAAAATGGAAGACCAAAAAAAATGGATCTTAAATTCTGGTAAAGTGGTGGAGGATGAGTTATATAGGTTTGGAATTAGATGTGAACACGAGCAGTAAGTCTATTTTATGTTTGGAATATGATATAAGCTGTCGGTCTTGGATCTCAAGATATTAACATCATCTTTCTCAAAAGCCCTTGCCACTCATTCATTGTAGATCCTTGTGATGAAAATTACATTGAAAAAGGAATTTTTAATAAAACAGAATTAGATGAAATTCATACTTATAAAATAAAACCTATTCCACAGATGCCTCAACATTTATTAAATTATATTGGTAGTTTTCATGCTGTAAGTATTTTTCATTTTAATATTTGAATAAAAGCATCATATGCAAATAATGACCTACTTGTTTATATACAGAAAACTTTTATTGTGACACATTAATTATTATTATTATTTTTATAAAAATTTTTTTAAAAAAAATAACAAAAAAATTTTAAAATGAAATATTATGGGCAATGCCCGAAGAAACTTTATAGTTAATCTAATGTTACGGTCATTTAATACTGTTTGAATCTGTATTTCACGATTACGATCTTGTGGTTTCTGTGGGGATCGTGGTGTTCCTCGCAAGACCATTTCTACGTCAAGTTCGACTTTACTTTGATTGTCGGTAAAGTGTCCTGTCGGTAAAGTGAGTGTCGGTAAAGTGTCCTGTCGGTAAAGTGGGTGTCGGTAAAGTGTCCCAGATCCGATTAGAGTTTAATTATATTATGAGCGCAATCAAATTTTTGATAGATGTGGGATTTATTTTTCTTTTAATATCTTTTATTAATTAATAACTTTGTTGATACATATTTTTTCTATTTTTTTGTATCATCATCGCCTAATTCAAAATAGATTTTAAATAAATTGTCAATAATAATCATTGTAATGATGGAATTAAATGATCTTTAATTTCACCAAAGTTTTTTCTTAAGTTATGATTTTTGATTTTAGTCAAGGACTTTGGCTTAAGCCAAGGTTTTTTTTACTTTCGTCATTTTTGACTCAATAGTAGTGGACTTGATAATATTTCGAGTTAGGATGGTTATCAACAGCTATTGGAAAACTTTAAATTTATGCTGAAAATTTGGAAACAATTGAATTAATCACAGTGTAGGGTTTTATCCTTTAGGCCACCCCAATAAAAAAACTGTATCTAAGAGTAATTCTATTATTAATAAAATAAAACTCAAAAAAATTCAAATCACGATTACCAGAAAATGCATAAAATCTCCATATATAGTGCTAGTGTTAAACTCAACCTTTAAAGTGTCATTAGAAGAGTAAATAAAATTGACGTCATTTATTATTAACTGTTACAATGTTATCAATTTTTGATTGAATTTGATTTTTATTTGCTTTTTGTCCAACCTCCCTCATATAACCTAATTGGTTCCTGCGAGTATTGCAATTTCAAACAATGTTCAGTATTTCTTTTTTAGTAAACATAAAGAATTAATTTAAAATTTCCTTTCCAAAGTATTATCGTTATTTTTTCTCCATTTATTTTCCAAAATGGAATATTTTAATGTTAAGAAACTGACATTCTTTTCTAGAAAACTCACATTAATCACTTTTTTATTATGTTTATTTTTGATTCCTATTGTTAGAGCTCCACCACCTCCATTCTCTCCTTCAACTATTTCCATTCCCTCAACTGTTCCTACTTCTTCCACTATTTCCTCTTCTCATACTTTAATTTCATCCATTATTTTCTCTTCATCCCCTATTTCCTCTTCTCATACTCTAATTTCCCCTTCACCTCTTTCACCACCTTTATTAAATGAAAATGTTGATTCATTTTCTGCCACTAATATTGATGATTCATATCATATTTTATATCTTATTGATGTGTCCTTATTAGTATTGGATTTTTTCATTTTCAGTCATTTAGAGTCTTTATATAAAAAGAGAAAAGCTGCTGAATCTGATTTTATAATTATATTAAGTTTTTTAAATATAATTCTCAGTATGCTTGAAATGATTATTGGATGTGATATAACAACAAAGGCAATTCTACAAGGATTAGCAACTATACTTTTATGGGGTTTTCCAGTAATATCAATATATAATGATTCAGAATTTTTGGGTTATAAACCAACCAAGATTGAATTTAAAAAGGACATAATAATTTCTACAGCTTTTATAAATTTTTTAAATGCAGTTCGCTTGTATAATAATTCAAAAGATTACAATTCTTTTAATATTGAAATTTTTAAAATAATTATGATTTTGATCAGTAATTATGATGAGTTTCTAAAACCAATACTATTAATCATTCCATCAACTGTTCAAGGTGTGATCCTATATCCTAAATATGATAATATAATTGTATTGATTACTATTTGTTTATCTTTTGCAACATCACTCATGTTTTTGTATCAGAAAGCTCAAATGTTGGGGAAATCTCAAATGTATTTGGAATTCAATGAATTTCCAAACCTTTTTTTTGTGGAGTTAAAGACAATTTTTCTTAAATTTTGTTTACTTGGTGTATGTTATATAGGAGCAATAGTATATGTTATATCATATATTTTAATTGGTTTGTTTTCATATGGCATTGGCCTCTCTCTTTATTTTCTTTTGATGCCTATTTATTTTGGTATTATTTTCTTCATTATTGGTGCTTTTTTAATTATTATTTCACTAGGATATGTGCAAATGCCAATACAAATATCCTTCATTATGTTTGGGAGTCTTCCTGATATTTATCATGGAATTATTCTCTGTGCTGGACCTTATTTAAAATTTTTAGCAAATTCAGGAAATTATTTAATAATGAATCTTGGCATCTAGACTTGTAACTATTAAATCATTAAAGATGTATGCATGATGTATTTTTTTACTAGAGAAATTTAACAATAAATAATAATGAACTAAAAAAAAAAGAGTGAGAAATAATATTGATTCATCACTCTCTGAAATTTTTCTTTGAGATTTTTAATATTAAAAAAGGAATTTTACAAAATTTATTTTATATGCTTGTAAAGACTCCTTTACTTTCCAATTAAATAAACCAGAAAAATAATATCAATTGGTATATATTAATTAATACATTTATTTCTTGTTGTTATTATTATCATCATTACCAATTTGCTTATTTTAAATTACCTCCCATTCGGACCCGGACACTTTACCGACACCCACTTTACCGACAAGACACCTTACCGACAGGACACCTCACTGACAAGCATTGTGTTAACAATTGCCAAGGACTGTGTGAAGACCTGGATAACTAGCTAAAATTTTGGTTTTTTACTGACAAGTTAAATCAACCGTTAATTAACTAATAACACAATTTATTATCCTTACTTTGCATCAAAAACAAGTTCATAAAAATACAATATAGACACATGTGTCTGACGAAACTGATAAAAATTGCATATTCATGTTATTTTTAATTGTATTTTTATACACAAAAAAATTTTTTTAAAAAAGAATAACAAAAAAAAATTTTAAAATGAAATATTATGGGCAATGCCCCGAAGAAACTCTATAGTTGATCTAATATTACGGTCATTTAATACTGTTTGAATCCGTATTTCACGATTACGATCTTGTGGTTTCTGTGGAGGTTGTGATGTTCCTTGAAAGACCATTTCTATGTCAAGTTCGTCTTCACTTTGATTGTCAGTAAAGTATCCTGTCGGTAAAGTGTCTTTTTGGTAAAGTGTCCTGTCTGTAAAGTGTCCTGTTGGTAAAGTGGGTGTCGGTAAAGTGTCCCCATTGTATCAGACATTTTTGATTAAACACAATTTTTTTTATTAATCCGAATTCTTAATTTCTGGTTATCTGAACTATTATTTTTGGTAACTTGATAATTTAAATTTTAGTCGGAGTTAATAATAATATTATGCATTAAAAAAAATCATATTTCTTCTATATAAATAAAAAAAATAATGAAATTAATTACTGAACTAGAATAATCTTTTTTTGAATGTATTATATAAACACACAAATTATGACATAGATAACTCTTTCCTTGATGATAGAAGATTTCAGGTGTATTGAACACCAAATTCACAGTTTTAGAACCCGAAAAAGATGAAGGTATCCGGCACTAGCATTAAATGAACATTGCATGTTAATAAAAGTATATGCTTTAGATTTGTATCTAGATATAGATAATGAAGAGAGCCATGAGTCCTATCCAGTTAAGGCGTTAATTCATTCATCATTAGTAAAAACTTAGTTGATAAATGCGGAATAAATATATTATTCCTGATTCTTCAGAGACGAGTGAATCTGATACCAGTTTAGATGTACCCAAATTCAGATGAATTGGAGACTCGAAGCTCTACTCCCTCAAAAAATAGCACAAGAATTGGTATGTAGTAACCAACTTTCTATAACAATTTTGCGACCCCAATTGTCCAAAGTGGATGATTGACGTTCTATAATATGCTAACCAAATCGCATCACACAGGATATAGAGTATTTTAATCCAATGTCATGTATCATTGCTTCTTCTGTTTTTACGCGTAAATACGAAGTATGTATAGCCACTTTGTATCTGCGAAGCAAAATGATTAAACTTATTTTTGATGTCAATTTAGGAACAGCGTCAAGATTCTGGGTCCCTACCTATCAGTAACAGATCGCCCATACTAGTATTATTACTATATATATAGATAAATTTTAATGAATCAGCCGTGAAATCCAAAAAATCAGTGATTCTCGATCTTTGATATTATATGCAAGTCTCGTCGGGAAAATCCTTAGATATGTATAAAAGCAGGACCTGTTTGAATATGTTTTATACCACATAACATCCGAATAAAAATTTATTAAATAAGTCATTCAGAAACACGTTACTGTAAAATAGTAATTTTTACATATCACGAAAATAAAATCGGAAAAACTGATCAATATTGTTATTTTATCATCAATAAAATAGTTGTTGACTCACGGAAAATATCTCAAACAACGGAGAAATAAATATTCTAACATTCTAAAATACAACAGACCTTTAATTCTCAGATTAAATTTAAATGAAGGAATTTAAAACTTGAAAATAATTCTACAGTACAAACAATGAGTGCAATCAAATTATTGATAGATGTGGGATTTGTTTTTCTTTTAACATCTTTATTAATTAATAACTTTGTTGATACATATTTTTTCTATTTTTTTGTATCATCGCCTAATCCAAAATGGATTTTAAATAAATTGTCAATAATAATCATTGTAATGATGGAATTAAATGATTTTTAATTTCACCAAAGTTTTTTCTTAAGTTATGATTTTTGATTTTAGTCAAGGACTTTGGTTTAAGCCAAGGTTTTTTTACTTTCGTCATTTTTGACTTAATAGTAGTGGACTTGATAATATTTCACCAAGCAACATTAGTTAGGATGGTTATCAACAGCTATTGGAAAACTTTAAACTTATGCTGAAAATTTAAATTTGTTATAGAAACAATTGAATTAATCAATGCGTAGGGTTTTTATCCTTTAGGCTACCCCAATAAAAAAACTGTGATTAATTGTATCTAAGAGTAATTCTATTATTAAATAAAATAAAACGCATTTTTTAGGATGAGGATTTTCCAGTACATATTCCATACTCAAAAAAATTCAAATAACGATTACCAGAAAATGCATGAAATTTCCATACATAGTGCTCATGGTGCTCAGTGTTAAACTCAACCTTAAAGTGTCATTAGAAGAGTAAATAAAATTGATGTCATTTATTACTGGAAGCACTATTTCAGTTTGTTAACTGTTACAATGTTATCAGTTTTTGATTGAATTTGATTTTTATTTGCTTTTTGTCCAACCTCATAACCTGATTGGTTCCTGCGAATATTGCAATTACAAACAATGTTCAATGTTTCTTTTTTAGTAAACATAAAGATTTAATTTAAAATTTTCTTTCCCAAAGTATTATGAAATAATCACTATTTTTTTTTCCATTTATTTTCCAAAATGGAATATTTTAATGTTAAAAAACTGACATTCTTTTCTAGAAAACTCACATTAATCACTCTTTTGTTATGTTTATTTTTGATTCCAATTGTTAGAGCTCCACCACCTCCACTCTCTCCTTCAGCTATTTCCACTTCCTCAACTGTTCTCACTTTTTCCACTATTTCCTCTTCTCGTACCCTAATTTCATCCACTATTTTCTCTTCATCCCCTATTTCCTCTTCTCATACTCTAATTTCCCCTTCACCTCTTTCACCACCTTTATTCAATGAAAATGTTGATTCATCTTCTGCCACTAATATTGATGAATCATATCATATTTTATATCTTATTGATGTGTTCTTATTAGTATTGGACATTTTCATTTTCAGTCATTTAGAGTCTTTATATGAAAAGAGAAAAGCTGCTGAGTCTGATTTTATAATTATATTAAATTTTTTAAGTATAATTCTCAGTACACTTGGAATGATTATTGGATGTGATATAACAACAAAGTCAATTCTACAAGGATTAACAACTATGATTTTTTGGCTTTATCCAGTAATATCAGTATATTATGATTTAGAATTTTGGGATTATAAACCAACCAAGATTGAATTTAAAAAGGACATAATAATTTCTACAGCTTTTATAAATTTTTTAAATGCAGTTCGCTTGTATAATAATTCAAAAGATTACAATTCTTTTAATATTGAAATTTTTAAAATAATTATGATTTTGATCAGTAATTATGATGAGTTTCTAAAACCAATACTATTAATCATTCCATCAACTGTTCAAGGTGTGATCCTATATCCTAAATATGATAATATCATTGTATTGATTACTATTTGTTTATCTTTTGCAACATTACTCATGTTTCTGCATCGAAAAGTTCAGATGTCTCAGGCTTGGGAACCTCAAATATCTCCAAAACTTAATGAATTTCCAAAACTTTTTTTTGTGGAGTTAGAGACAATTTTTCTTAAATTTTGTTTATTTAGTGTATGTTTTATAGGAGCAATAGTATATGTTATATTATGTATTTTAATTTATTTGTTTTTCTTTGGTATTTTCTTCCCTTTTTATTTTCTTTTTATCCTAACTTATTTTGGTATTATTTTCTTCATTATTGGTGCTTTTTTAATTATTATTTCACTAGGATATGTGCAAATGCCAATACAAATATCCTTCATTATGTTTGGGAGTCTTCCTGATATTTATCATGGAATTATTCTCTGTGCTGGACCTTATTTAAAATTTTTAGCAAATTCAGGAAATTATTTAATAATGAATCTTGGCATCTAGACTTGTAACTATTAAATCATTAAAGATGTATGCATGATGTATTTTTTTACTAGAGAAATTTAACAATAAATAATAATGAACTAAAAAAAAAAGAGTGAGAAATAATGTTGATTCATCACTCTCTGAAATTTTTCTTTGAGATTTTTAATATTAAAAAAGGAATTTTACAAAATTTATTTTATACACTTGTAAAGACTCCTTTACTTTTCCAATTAAATAAACAAGAAAAATAATGTCAATTGGCACATATTAATTAATATGTTTATTGCTTGTTGTTGTTAATATCATTATTATTACCCTCTCATTGCATCAGACATTTTTGATTAGATCTTATTAAAGTAATTTAAACATATTTCTTTATATTTAATTACATTAGTTATTGTAAAATAATTATTATGGAAATTATACATAGTAGCGATGTCAACCGGATTTTAAAGTAATATTTTCAACCGTTAGTTCAAAACTGTTTGTTAGTGAAACCGCCCATCCCTAGCTTCAGTACAGTGCTGACTTTCTATATATCCCTTTTTATATAATAGGAGTAAAAAGAGTTGCCTCGCTTTTCCTGGTATTTATTTTCCATATAAAAAAAATGAATGAGGGTATTTTTCTTATAACTATTTTAAAAATTAAAAAATATAATAAAATAGAATTTGCATCTTAAATTAATATTTTGCTTTATAATAATAATATTTAGCCAAATTCTACATTATAAATTAACTAAATAATTTTATTCTTTATCATATGTAATAACCAGGGAGTAAGTATTATTGTTATGATTGATTTTTAAAACGTAAAATAAAACATACAGCACATCTAATTAAATAAGATATTATTGAGAAGGTAGTTATGTAGCATTAAAAAAATTTAAAAACTCTCATAAAAAATTTGATATAATTAATTGACAATTATTGATTTTTAAATAACATTAATTTTTTATTAATTTTCATAAAGCTTCAAAATCACATTAAATTTATAGGACCATGGTATAAGAAAATTGTTAATATTTATGGTATTTCACAAGATCCAGATACAAAAGAATATGTTTCAATAATGAAATATACAGACAGTGGAAGTTTGAAAAAATATATAAAATTAAAGCATAGAAAATGGGACAAGAGAATTAAAATGCTTTACAATATTTAAAAGACTTATGCATCATGATCTTCACTGTGGTAATATTTTATATTTTCAACATTTATCCCAAGCAATGATTGCAAGATTTAGGGTTATCAGGTCCAGCTGATCAAGAACCATCAAGTCAAAAATGATATATTTGGAGTATTGCCATATGTTGCACCAGAGGTTTTAAATAAGAAACCTTACACACAAAAATCTGACATCTATAGCTTTGGATTTTAATGTTAGAAACATCAACATGTCAACAACCATTCAAAGATCAACAATATGATCTAGATCTTGCTTTCAAGATCTGTAGCAGCTTAAGGCCTAGTTTTTCAGATAATACTTCAGAATATCATATTAAATTAGCGCACAGATCCACAGATGCTGATCCTGAAAAAGATCAACAGCAAATGAAATTTTAGAAATTATTACTCTTTGGAAAGATGCAAGTTGATTCATATCCATATCAATCAAACAGGCCTAATTATTCTGAAAAACAGCTTGATGAATTAAAAGGAATCAGAAAAATATTTAATAAAACCCCTTTAATCCTTCAACAATTACAGCAACTGTTCATCCAAATGCTGTTTATACAATTAGATTATTGAATTTTCCAAATCTTCCCCAACCTGTAAATTCCAATATAGTTGCAATTATTGGTAATTGATTTAGATAATATTAATAATGGTAATTATTTGATTATTGATTTAAAAGTCATGACATCAATATCAATATCAATATTAATATTATTTTTATTATCATATTTATAGATTTTAATCAAATGAATTTGAATAATAATAATAATGGTAATTATAATCAATTATTTAATTGTTAATTATCAATTTCAACATTAATATTGTTTTTATTATGTTATAAATTATCACATTTATAAATTTTATTCATCTGATTATTGGAATTTCACATTGGTATTATAAGGAAGTGCTATTTGGTGAACAAATACTATCATAATTAGAGTAAACCATTCATTGTGATTGAAATGATCTATCATCGTTCCACTTATTAATATTTTTATTTTTATTAATATTTTTATTTTTATTTTTATTTTTATTTTTATTTTTATTTTATATTTTTTTATTATCATCTATAAATACTACAAATAATAAAAGTGTTCCTCAGATGATTTGTTCATTAGTCAGGGTATAATATTGTGAGATTCATGTAAGTAAATCAGTATAGAAACAACAGATAAGTTTTAGAAGACCGATTCAAAAGTAAAGCCTGGATGTGTAACATAAGTTGATTCTGACGATGAAGGAGTATCTTCTCTAGTGGTAACTCAATCCGAATAAAATAATATTAATCAAGTCAAGTGGAGTTATTTTTTTTCTTCAGGGTAAGATTTTCCTTCCCAAGCAAGTATATACCCATTTTGTTTATTGATTGATCTATTTGAGGGAATTCTTGGTGTACCTTTTATGATATTGGCTGACTTGTGCATTTATAAACGCAGAACAAAGACGCAGAACATCCTGATGATATTAAAGAGGGAAAATAAATTTTTACAGTTCCATCCAGATTTGGGTAAACCGAAAAGTGTAAATCGACAAGACACTCTGATGGATTTTGCATTAGTCTGGAAATAATATAGTTGATAATTTCATTCAAATTTTAAAAGGGAACAATTTAAATCTATAACGGAAGGATTTTGCTGTTATCGCCAAACAAAAAAAGCCAACTTTGATCATGAAAACACATTGCTATTATCATATTAAACTTGACGCGATTTGAATTTCATATGAATGCTCTGACTCATTCACATATCAACAATTAGGTGTTTACTATTATCATGACTAATACAAAAATGATGTTAATTTCGTTAGCATAAAAGATAATAATAATTATGTTTTAAACGAACACTAATTAACTCCAAATTAATTTTAACAAAAAATTACATTGATAATGATATATATACTAAATCAAATTAGGTAAATATTGGAAGATATTTGATGTATTTGATTAGTCACATTCTGTTATCGTTATAATGATTTCAGCTTGTCTTCTAAGGTAAAATGAAAAGGCTGTTAAGAATGAGAATAAAAGAGATATAACCCCGATAACAAACCCGTTACTGCCAAATTTTTTAGTTAATCCATATTGACCATCAGTTATAGGATAAAAATTATTGATTTTTAAAAAAAGATCAATTTGTCCTCCTATTGCTAACAAAATGATCAAAGAATTGGATAATGCGAAAATCAACGCCGGACTTCTGCTGGTCATATAATTACGAATGCACAGCAATATTAATACGAATGATGTCATTGCACCTAAAAATAACTAATTTGTTATATATAATATTTCATATTTTTAAATAATTAACAAGTAAGTATATTACCAATAGTATACATGGACAACAATAATTTTGTGCTTTTAGCTGAAATGCCCAAATCGTCATTATCAACACCATCACTTATGCATGTTAACATAGTTACATTTGAGTCGATTTGGGTGATTTGCTTACAAATGCCATATATTCCAAATATAATTTCTTGTCGATTTATACCATCGTTAATTATCACAACACTCGCAATATAAATTGACTTAATTATTGGCACACCAAAGTTTAATAAAAGAAGACACACAAATGTGATAAACGACAGAACAGTTCCAATAACGTTTGCATTTTTAACAAGGTTAGCCGAAACCACCCCCATCGCTTATAAAGGAATCGTTTTTAATAAAAAAATACGGGATAAGACAAGGATTTCGATACAAATTCAAAAACTAAACGGAGAATCATTTTTCGTCATAATTTCTCAAATTAAAAATATGTAAACACATGCTCCTTTGTTGGTTTTTTATTATTCTATTATTAACATGCGCAAAATTTTTTTGTCTTGGCACTTTTAAAATGTTATATAAATTTAACTATGACAAAGATTGGCCATATGAAAATATGAAAGCTCAATTTTTTGTCATAGACATTTCTTCATTTGGCAATTTTAACCATCAATGAAATTTAGCATACATGATGCGAAATCGAAATACTCGTGGCAAAAATCAAAACCAATGCTGTGATCCTTTTGAATTCCTTAAACCGTTCGGTTGGTTTCGGTTTCAGATCAGAATTGGTTAAAATTGTTTATAATTTATTCAGAGGAGAAATAATAATAATTCTACTGGAAAAAGACACTAAAAATTGTATGGGCTACGATAGTATTCACATGGAAGCCATTACTACTACTGCGGATACGATGTAGTTCACATCTCTTTGCTGTTTGATTTTTATTTCGATTTTAGTCAAAGCTTTTATATTAAGATTAATATTAAGTTTGAATTCGAAATGTTTAAGATCCGATTGTTCAAAATTATTTTCAAGTGCTAACCTATTTCGCTATCATGTGTGAATTTTAGCAGTTGTATTATAAGTTTTTACTTTAGTATGACTTTTGATTTTAGTTAAGAGCTTTGGCTTAAAGTCAATATTTTTACTTTCGTCATTTTTGACTGGATAGTAGTGGACTTGATAACATTTCGCCAAAAAAACACAACATTAGTTGGGATGGTAATCAACAGCTATTGTAGAACTTTAAACCTATAACTAAAAATTCAAATTTATGCTTATGTAAACAATTGAATTGATCACTGTTAATCTTGTTTGATGAAATTTTGCAATTAAAGCAAGAATGTCGTAAGTAAATTGTTTTAAAATAAACAAAAAAAAAATAAATATATTTTTTTATTTTTATATTTTTCTTCATCACTCGTCTAAATTTTTCTTTTGCTAATACAAACTCAATTCCCACACATTCATTACCCGAACATTTTTTAATAACGTGATACAGTCAAACCTTGTCATAACGAATTTTGAACTAGTACAAATTTAGAAAGTATCTGCAGAAATATCCAACCAA